ACATGGAGCTTACAGTTGCCTGGCTTTTCACTGCTTTTCTAGGAAGTTCCATGATTATTCCAGGACGGGATATGTCATGGATTTATTTCCTGATTCTCATCACTTTCTTGCTTAGTCGTTTTTGGGTTTATAATATGGCATCAGCTGCCAATTCTTCAACCTTGTGAGAGTGTTCTGCCTATGAGAACCACCATAGGAGCCTAGTGGCAGAGAGAGAGGAAGTAAGTGCAGGCCTGCGAGTCAAAGCTTCTGTTTGGGATGAGGAAGAAATGTGCACCATGGGAGGGCACTTAGCAAGCGTTAAAATGCAAATGCCAGTTATGTATGTAACTGTAAAAAAGAGGGGGAGCTGAAGAGGAGCTCCCTGCTCAGTGCTCCTGCCTGTCTCATTTGGATCCCTATAGGCCGGCTCTGTACTTCATCAAGCTACCATCTGGAGCCATGACAGGCTGTGTGCTTGGTCATCTCAGTGCTGTCCCTCATCTGTAGCAGGCTTGCCCAGTGCCCGTTTCTTGACCTGCCTCTGGCAGGATTCTGGCTGGCCTCATATACTTGACATTTGCATCACTTTGTTGCAAATTGTTGTGAGAGGCACCATGGTGTGTTCCATACTTCAGGAACTCAAGAGGCTGAGGCAAGATGACCGCTCACTCCTTCAAGACCAGGCTGGGCCACATAGATCTTGTCTCAAACACACACACACACACACACACACACACACACACACACACACACACACACACCCCAACACCCATCATCACCACCAACACCAACTGCAACAACAACAGAAACAAATGCTAAAAGCACAATCTGGGACCACTGGAATTTTCATGGTGAAGCTGACCCACTTGAATTCCTGGTGAGAATTACTGTCTGGTCTGCAAAGTCCTGTTTGGAATGCTGTGGTTTAAAGCGTTGTTTTTCTGCTTGGACACTCGGGCCACATTTTCCTTTCTGTCTTCCATGCTCTGGTAGCTTTGGGTTCCATTTACTACCATGTTGTTCAGAGGGTCCTTCAGCTGGTTTCTTTGTCTATAACTTTAGATTCTAGGTGGCGGTAGAGAGCATTTCCAGGGCCTCACACTAGCAAGGGGATCGATCCACTCAGGTCACCTAAGCCTCCTTGTCTGTGAGACTTGACTCTGAAACTGCAGGCACCAAGAGTTTGGTGCCTGCTTTTTTTAAAAATTTCCCATTTCTCTGGCTCTGGGAGTGCAATTTGGATTTCACGTGCCTGGTATTGTTGTACATACGTCTGTATAATGTGGGAGGTGCATGCTCTTTCCCATCCGAATTTGCAGCAGTTATTTAGACTCCTCTTTCTTTCCCCCCAGATTCTATGTTCCCCACTTGGCTGTTTCTATCTTGACCTCAGCTATAAAGTGTGCTGTTGCTCCCAGTTGACTCTCAGGATCAACTTCCAGAAGGTTTCCCTGCTGGTACATCACCAGAGCCTCACACAGTAATGTGTGTGTCCAATAATCCCTGGGGTTTTATGACGCAAAAAGGGTAGAGGGCAGCCTGGGCGTGAGAGCCTTGCGGGAAGTTTGACGCCCTTCCTCCCACCCCCACACTCCTGCCTAGATATCTGCAAGATTTATCCTTAAAGTTTGTACATCAAAACATTTGCTGAAATGTGTCTAGGTGTCCTTTCCCATACCAAAGTGATCAGGTTGCAGAGATCAGCTAGCCAGTACATACGGTTTCTGAGCTAACTGTGCATTTTGTAGTTCAACAATGGTGGCATGCCAGCAATTTCATGTGATCCAGGTTTGTTCCCTATAGTGTGTGTGTTTGGATGTGTGTATGTTTGTGTGTGGGTGAGCATCCATATGGGTGTTCAAGAGTGTTGAGGTCGGAGGTCCATCACAGTATTGTTCCTCCTGAGGGTATCATCAAGGTGGACAGAATCTCTCACTGAACCTGGAGCTAGCCTATTAGACTGGACAGCTGGCCAGAGAGCCCCAAGGGCCCACTGGTCTCCCCACACACCCTCACCTCCAACCCTAGCATTGGAGTTTCAAGTACCCACCACCATGCCTGGATTTTTATGGGGTTTTTGGGGATGGACTGCTGTCCTTGTGCTTGTACTTTATCAGTCTTCCCAGTTCCCCTTTGCTCGGTTGTCCCTATTCCCTTACTGCAGAATGTACTAGAAGCCAGATTTTGGCTGCCCCATGAGCTGTTGCTGCTGGGGCATCTATTTTGGTTCGGCCGCTTGTCCTGGTGTCCTCTTAGCTCTCTTCTCCAGTCTCACACAGTCATCTTTTCTCTCATTGGATTGATCGTGCCAACCATTTCCTCTGAATTCTGGAAGAGTGTCTCAAGAGCATCCTCTGCATCATTGATTTTTTTTTCCTTCTTGGCCCTGGCTCTACTCTCTGCTGCCTCTGCTGCAGATTCCTGTCCCATTATCTGATATGCAGCTTCTTCCTGGTCCTCTGCATCCCCAATTCACTTAGCCCACACTGAAGCAGAGGCTTGCCTTTTTTCCAGGCTGTCCAGAACTTCCCGCTTGTTCTCTCTTCTGAGTATTTTATCCCCATTTCCTCAGTCGTCTTTGCTGTCTAGACACTCAAATGCAGCTTATTGGGCAATTAGGTTTGATTGTAGGTGATGAGAAATACTTCTGGAAGCTTGCATTTTAATGGTGGGTGCTAGAAGAAGGAGATGGATAGGCTGTCTAATGGGGTGGGCTGTGTGCTCCCAGAAGATACATTGAAAGTCTAACCCCAGAATTCTGGAATGGGACCTCTTGTGAAAACTGGGTCAGTAACAGAGGGTGTTCTTAATCAGGATTCTGCTACAATGGAATGAGGTTGACTCTTAGCTCAACTTGAGGAGTGTCCTGACAGGAGGATAGTGTGAAGAAGGGAAATGGTGCCACGAGAGGTGGAGCTAGCACTTGCAGCCACAGGCCAAGAGCTCCCAGAGCCGTGGACACCAGAAGCTGAGAGAAAGGCAAGCTTGGAGAATCCATGGTGTGGCCACAGCCCAACCTCTGCCCTCACCCCAGCCTCTAGAACCAGGCCTGAGAGTACACACTCCTGCTGCTAAGACACAGCGTACTGCAGCATAGTGGAAGCAGCCCCAGGAAACAAACATGGATGTGAGTGTGTGAGATGGAGATGGTCAGGAGAAGGCGCAGTGCCTCAGCCCCTGGTCCTAGCCTCTGAGCTGTGCACCGGTAGGATCTTTTCTCCAAACCTTGGCTGCACAGGGAGCTGGGGACAGCTGGGCAGAGGCCCCATCAGACTCCGGGTGGAATTCCAGCCCTCCACTTCCCCTGTAACTCTTGAGGGGTTACCCAACCACTTTGATCCTCAGTGAAATCAATCTTAAAAACCTCCTTGCCAGAGGGCTTTGGGAAGCTCAAATGAAGAAATGATGGGCAAAGGGTCAAGCCTTGGGTCAGTGGCCAGCTCTGTGTTGGTGGCCAGTCAGGCGCTGGAGGTTGGGAAGGCTGGGTGTTTTGGTTGCTGTTTTTGGCATTGTTTCAGTCAGGTCTTTTTTGGTTGAACTTGGTTGATGAGCAGAGCGCCCTATACCACCCCAGGTCTCAACACCTCAGCTCTACACATTTTGCCTTTCAACTCCAAAGCCCTCAGAACTCAGCTGGGCCTTGGAGGCTAGAGCTATTTCAAGAGCCTGCTCTGGGGAGACAGTCTGCATGTGTCAGGACAAGACTGGCACAGCATAGCCCCCTTCCCCACCGGCCTGAGTCATTCAGGCTCTGCAGGCCCCATCTTGGACCCGGCAACAGCATAGTCCTTGACAACATGGAGGGAAAGCTTGGGCTGCAGCAACTTGGGTTGTCCCCAGAGGCTGTTCCTCATCTGCAGAGAGACTCCCAGGGCCAAAGTGTGACCCACAGGTTCTGTCTATTTCAGAGGATATCAGGAGGTGTGTGGTTCTTCTATGTCCCCTGGCTCCCCAACTCTGAGTTCTGGCTCCCCATCAGCGAAATGAAAATTCTTATGACCTATGGTTCATGCCTGCCACCTGCTGTGTCAAGGGAAACCCTGGACCCACTTAAGTCAGAAAAGACACCAGCAGTTGTCATGTGGGATCATCATGCCAACAACTTAACCCATGGCCACGAGAGAATAGAAGGGAAAGAAAGGAGTCCACAGCTCTGAGCGCCAGCTGCTTCCCTCCACCCTCAGGAGAAGAGAGAGCCACTTAGTTGGGCTTAGCTATTGGGAACTGTCCTAGAACTCTGTTTCCAGCCTCAGCATCACCCTGCTATTCTTCCCCCAATGCCTCACGCTCTGTGGAACTCTGATGTTCCCACAACACAGTGTGCCTGCTACCCTTGGATCTGCAACCCTCCTTCCTTGCAGTCTGCAGCCTGGGAGCCTGCTTGGCCTCTGTCCAGTGCTCTCTTCCTTAGAGTCAGGGCTGACCCCTTGTTCTGGTGGCATGAGTCACTTCTCCCTCCTTTTGCCCTGGATCCCTCATTTCCCTTGAGACTGAACCTTCTTCCTGGCCATGCTGTGACCAACCTGAGAACAGGGGTGGGTGTGATGATATCTGGGGGCCCAGGAGAAGGGCCAGCACCTGGTAGGGGTTGGACTTTGTAGCAGACAAAGCAGATATGTACAACATGGGAACCTCGTGTTGTCTTCCTCCATCCCTAGAGTGACAGACTTTGGGTGGGATCAGGAGATGGGCTCTCAGCCCTGACAGCAATGCTTTTTGATGGGCCAGCTCCTGGGTCCTGCCCTTTTTGCAAGAGAGATGACATCAGTGGGTACTCTGCTTGCCAGTCAAGCATGGCTGTGGGATGAAATAGCTACACAGGTTCCAGGGACACAGAGCTACTAGTGACCTTTGTCAGAGCTAGACAATAATCCATGGGGAAGCTCAAGGAGGCTGACTCCTGAGGTCTGAGCTGTCAGAAGGAAGAATTGACCCTGAGGCCTACACTGAAGTCAGGGCTGCAATGGTGTGTGGATCCTCCGGGGGCATCATTGCCCCTAGTGACAGGCTGCACCTACCTTGAGCTTTTTGACACTGGTGCAGGGATCATTGGAGAAGCTCTCTGTGTCTGAGATCTCGATGTCCTCCCCGTACAGAACCCCAGTCAGGTCATTCCTCACCTGTGGACAGAGACAAATCAAGAACTTGGGTAGGCTGTTGCCAGGAAGGGCCTATTCATCAGGGTTGGCCTGTTAGGGAGCAATTTTCTCTACACCACTAAGACACAGAAGGGAGCACCACCTTGTAAGTGACACTATGGTATGACTCCAGGCTGCGGCTGCTCATCTTGCCATCGGAGTGCCCATAAGAGGAAAGATGAAGAGATAGCCTGGCTGGCATCCCCATGTTGCCTGGCCCTGGTCAGGCCATCTAATGATACCTTGTTTATGTTTTGCAGTATAAGCTCCAGTATGGCTTTCCGTTGTAATGAAAACATAGCCAAGCCTCTCAGAGGGGCAATATAAAATGAGTTGGGGGAGGAAATGGTGGCATCTGACCATGAGGTTCTGACCTATGGGTAGTACATGTGCCTACAAGGCAGTGTGGGAAGATATAAGGACTTTCAGGGGCACTGTGGCACCCTAGAGACCACATGGCCTTGTAAGGACAACCACTGTTGTGGTTGGACAATTTGGGGAGTGGGGGGAAGGGAGGAAGAAATCAGAAATCCAGGCTTTTCCCATATAAAATTCTCCATATCTTCTGGTGTTGATTTTTGTTTAAAGTTTGGATTAAACAGAATAAAGCTGGAGTGTATCTGGCTGGAAGCCAGAGCTGGTTGCTCCTGATGTGCAGCAATGGGCCCAATGAATCCAATATTATGGGCTGTTTAGAAGGAACAGGTGAGAGGCCGGGACTCAGCTTCTGTGTCTTGCTGTTTCTGACTTGCTTGTGACCTTGTCCCCTGGGTGTGACCTCTCACTTTCTGAGCCTAAGAGGGGGAGACTCTGAAAAGCATGTCTTGCTCACCCTGCTGGGATGGCCACTGTCAGAACCAGACAGCAACAAGTGTTTGTGAGGATGAGAGCACCTGGGGCCCTTGGGAACCGCCTCTGGGAATGTATGGTGGTTCCAGATTCTGGGAAACAGAATGGCAGTGCCTCAGAAAACCAAACATCCATTGCCACCTGCTCCAGCAATCCCACTACTGGGAATAATTCCCACAAGAAATGACAGCAGGGACTTGTCATGCACACTCATTGTGTCAGCTGCTTTTTTCACCACTGTGTCAAAGTATCTGAAAGAACAACTGAAAGGGGGGAGGATTTTTAATTTTATTTTTAATATTTTTATCAATCATCTATCTTCTATTGTGGTTATTATGATAACCATATGTGTGTGGTTATCATAGAGATATCCTGGAACTAGGGTTACAGATAGTTGTGAGTTGCCCAACATGGGTCCTGGGAAATGAACTCAGGTTCTCTAGAAATGTAGAAAGCACTCTTAACCACTGAGTCACCTTTGCAGCCCCGAGGAAGGTTTGTTTTTGCTCACAGTCTGAGAGGGCATAGTCCATTGTGGCAGAAAATGATGGAGGAGTTCATGGCAGTGGTGTGTGTAGCAGGGAATTCTCACATCTCAACAGACCAGGAACTGGAGCCAGGTTACAATCCCCAGAGCCTGGCCCCCAGCAAACCACTTCCTCCAGTGAGGTTCCATATCCTAAAGGTTCTACAACTTCCCCAGTGGCACTATGAATGGGGGACCAAGTAGTCAAACACATGAGCCCATGGGGAGATTTTACCTTCTAAATATAAAATCCGTGATCACAGGATATTATTCACAGTAGCTCCAAAGTGGGAGCAACCCAAGTGTCTGTTGATGAATGGACACCACAAAAACATGGTGTGCACACACAGAGTAGCATACTATTCAGCCTTCAAAAAGATTGAGATTCTGTGTATGTTACAAGGTGGCTGTCTTAGCTAGGGTTTCTATTGCTGTGAAGAGACACCATTGACACAGCAACTCTTGTAAAGGAAAACATTTAATTGGGGTGGCTTACAGTTTTAGAGGTTTAGTCCATTATCATCACAGTGAGACATGGTGGTCTGCAGGCAGACATTGTGCTGGAGAAGATGCTGAGAGTTCTACATTTTAATCTGCAGGCAACAGGAAGTGAACTGTCTGTACACTGAGCATAGCTTGAGCATAGAAGACCTCATTGCCCCTCCCCAATGATACACTTTTTCCAACAAGGCCACATCTACTCCAACAAAGCCACACCCCTAATAATGCCACTCCCTAAGAGCTTATAGGGGCCAATGACATTCAAACTATCACAATGGGTTAATCTAAAGAAAGGCAGACACAAAAAGACAATTACACAAGGTACCTGGAATAGGCAAATTCCCAGAGAAAGGAGTGGAACAGCCACTGGGGGTGGGCAGTTAGAACAGGATTTGGTGCTTAGTGGACTCAGAGCCTCAGTTTAGGGTTGTGTGAAGGTTCAGGAGATGTATAACATGACAGTTACATAACTTGTGAAGGCCCATGTCCTTGCTGTGCACTTACAGATGGCTAAGGTGTTTTGTATACTTTACCCCGATAAAAAAAACCTAAGTCAGGCAGTGGTGGTGTATGCCTTTAATCCCAGCACTCGTGAAACAGGGGCAGGTGTATCTTTGTGAGTTTGAGGGCAGTCTGGTCTACAAAGCTAGTTCCAGGATAGCCAGGACTGCTACACAGAAAAACCCTATCTCAAACCAAACCAAACCAAAACCAAACAAAATAGACCTTCTGATGTTAACATTCAGAAGATCCATCTAAAGCATCCATGAACGTGTTAAGACCCAGCTGTTTATCTGTGTGTCACTCACATTTGGAGAGGTGACCCAGCTTCCTTTGAACCACTGTCTTCTCACCTGAAAATGGAGGTGGTGGGCAAATAGCTCACTGGCTGATTCCAGCCTCATCTTGGAGCTGTGGAATGGCTTTGCAAGCTGTGGAATCTATACACTGCTTAAAAGTGAGAAAGGATCCAGCGGTTGAGGTGTCCGTGAGTGTGTCAGGGCAGGTGTGAGAACCTCTATTATATTTTGCTTGATACATGAACAAATCCACCCTAAAGGTGGTCTCATTCTGCCTGCAATTTCACCTATGAGCACCTGAAAGGAGACCCTCAGTCTGGTGATCTTTCCACACTCTAGCCTGGTGATTTAGAGTCCCCATTAGCCCCCATTGCTTCCACTCTTTGGTGTTTGCAATCAGCTCGGGTATTTATTCTGGTGGACTTTCAGGGAGGCAAGTAAAGCGAATCAACACTAAAGGGCATTTTCAAAGAAACAGTACAGGGAAGAAGGATGTAAGGTCATGTGAGTACTGGGAGACCCACTGCTTATCCCCAGACACCCAGGTTTGTACTGAACCTGCAGGTTCCCCTGGGTAATGGGGACTGTCTGAGCTGTTTGCTCTAGACCGTGAGTCCAGGATTCTATGATCCCTTTTGCTTCTACTTAATAAAAGCAAGAACATGTTCTGGGAAAGTAAGAGCCCTTCATTCCCAGAAAGATAAAACGAAGATGGCGATTGATGTGTGATGGGGCGGGTGGGTTCAAAACTGAGAAATTGGAAAACCACAGAATAGCAGAGCATGTTTCAGAGGCCCAGGACACTGGAGGCTGGGCTGTCCCTGGGATCACATGGTTGCCATTCCCTGCACAGTGAGAGAGTATTCTACCATATATCACCAGAAAAGATCAAAACCCCAAATCCCAAGCTGTCAAATGGGGATCATGTTTGTATCATGGTAAAGTCGAAAATTCCTTCTAGGAGTGCTGTGACAGGATATTGAGACTGGAAGACAGACACACACTGGAGAGCCATGCAATCGAGTCACAGACATGACCTCCAAGAAACTCTCATCATGTTTTAAGTAGGCTTACAACCTTGTGTTGGGCCATGTGGGCCGATGTGGGAATCTCCCAGTTATCTCACTGTCTACCCTATACTGCACTGGGTCCTGTGAAGGCTCACCCTGCCAGGCTCCTGTCTTCTCCACGCTCTGTTGCCCACACACAGAACCAATGAGGTCCCCCTCTTGTCCCTCCTACCAGTCCTCCACAGCAGCCTCAGATGCCTGACCTCTAACAAGGCAATATGGAGTCCAAGTTCAGAAGTGCCAGGATGAAGCCCAGGCAGCTGGGGGAGAGACATGCAGACCTCATTTTCAGTCATCTCTCCTGCTGGGCTGAGCACCTCTTGTCCAAGCACTAACTGGCTTTGAGACTATATGATTTCATGAATTTCATGAACAGCTCTCAGGGGCCCTGGGGTTTCCAGGATGAGATCTGTTGGTCCCTCCAATCTCATGTGCTTATTTCATGCTCATTTAGGTCTGACACTGACATCTCCTCTGCTTAGGCACTGAGGCAACCAGTGATGGGCTCCTAACACAGAGCTGACCTACTCACTGCCCTGCGCCTCTCTCTAGTGGGTGTGGGAAGCTTTCCTTAGATGAATTCCTTAGATGAGTACCTGCTGAGGTTCTTGAGTTTAGTGCAACAGAGTCAAACCCAGGCCAAGAAGAGGAGCAGGAAGTTTCCAGCCTGGACAGCAGCATGTGCAAAGGTCCTGGGGTGGAGGAAGAAATTAGAGACTTTTGAAGCTAGAATTAAAGTGGAGCCTAAAAGAATGGTTGGGGGACAGTGTTGGAATCAAGAAAGAAAGAAGTGGTAGGTGGGGCTAGAACATGTGAGCCTTACAATTTGCATTAGAGATGCTGTGATCTAAATGTTATAGAAAGCCATTATGAGGAGTCCAGAGAGGAGTTGACCTGAGTGGAGCTGTGTTTGCAGTGATAACAGGTTGCTGTGGGGTCAGTGAAGGGTGAGGTATGAGGTGTGTGTGTGTGTGTGTGTGTGTGTGTGTGTGTGTGAGAGAGAGAGAGAGAGAGAGAGAGAGAGAGAGAGAGAGAGAGAGAGAGAGAGAGAGAGAGAGAGAGAGAGAGAGAGAGAGAGAGAGAGAGAGACAGAGAGAGACAGAGAGAGACAGAGAGACAGAGACAGAGAGACAGAGAGAAAGAGAATGAGAGAGAAAGAGAGAGAGAAAGAGAGAGGGGGGGAGAATGGGAGAGAGAGAGAATGGGAGAGAGAGAGAATGGGAGGTGGCCAGAGCC